ACATCTGCAGACGAGTTCCCAGTAAAGGGAACAGCGTTTTCCAAAACGCGGCAGTGAACCGCGGGTCTCGGTCCGAGACAATCGTCTCCGGGAGACCGTGATAGCGGAACACGCCATCGACGAACAACCTTGCGGTTTGTTCGCCCGTTACAGTGACGGGAACTGGAGCAAGATGTACCATCTTGCTCAGCCGACACACGAACACCAAAATTCCGGTGTTGCCGTGTCCGTCGGCGGGAAGCCCAAAGATGAAGTCAAGACTCATCGACTTCCAACAATCAGCCGGTACGGGCAGGCTCTGTAGTGGAGCCGAAGAGTGCCCTGCGGGTTTGACCCGCTGACATGTTTCACATGTCTTGACGTATCGGGCGACCCACTTGTACATGTGGGTCCACCAGAAGGACTGAGAGACCGACAGAAAGGTCTTCTCGCGGCTCAAGTGGCCGCTGGAGGGCGCGTCATGCGCCTCCGCGAGGATGTTGAACTTCAGATCCTCGTCGTTGGGTACGACCACCCGTGGAGGATCCGTGGGCTCCACCCGATAATAGAGGAGGCCCTCCTTCAACTCATATCGGTGGAGCCGTGAGCGCTGTCGCGACGAGAGCCAGTCGGACTTCGCGCTCGTTCCGGCCTTAAGGAGCTTGACGATAGGCGCGACAGCCTCATCGTCCCGATACGCCACGCGTATCCGATCATATAGATCCGTTGTCACCCGCGTGATGTGGGCCAACTCATAGTCGGGACGCCGAGAGAGGGCGTCCGCAAGCACGTTGAGCTTGCCCGGCTTGTATTCGACGCGGAAGCTGTATTCCGCGAAGAAGGACAGCCACCTCGCCATCCTTTGGGAGAGGTGAGGCGAGTTAGTCGCCGTCCTCAAGGACGCGTGGTCTGTGTAGATCACAAAGGGCCTAGAGCCCAGAAGGTGAACACGGAACTTCACAAGGGCATATTTCATTGCCAGGAGCTCCTTGTCATGGACAGGGTAATTCCGCTCGGCGGCTTTGAGCTGCCTGGACTGGAACGAGATGACTCGTTCCTGTCCAGCCGTGTCGGCGTGCAGCAATGCACATCCGATGGCGTAATCGGAGGCATCGCAGACGATGCTAAACGGCTTCGTCTCGTCCGGCAGGGCCAGGACAGGGGCCTCTTGGAGACTGTCCTTGATGCTGTCAAAAGCATCCTGGTGCTCTTGCTCCCAGCGCCAGTCGACGTCCTTCTGAAGGAGGCTCGACAAGGGCTTAGCGAATCCCGCGTACCCAGCGCTGTACTTGTGAAGGTAGTTGGCCAAGCCCAACCACTTTCGAAGATCCTTCTGGGATCGGGGCGTCGGCCATGCTGCTATGGCCTTGACCTTGTCTGGGTCAGCCCGAACGCCCACGTTGCTTACGAAGCAACCGAGAACTTTGATCTCTGGTGACGCGAAAACGCACTTGTCGATATTGGCGTAGAGCTTGTTCGCTCGCATCACGTCCAACACTCGACGGAGGTGTCCTAGATGCACCTCCATGGCCGTCTTGCCTCCCTCGGCACGGCTATGGACGAAAATGTCGTCGAAGTACGTCTGTACGAAGGTACGCAAAGGGAGGAACAATTGCGTCACCAGGCGATTGAACGTCGCCGGGGCGTTAGACAAGCCCTGCGGCATGACGAGCCACTCCCCAAGCATGCCGCTTGGAGTGCTTACCGCGGTGAGCGGGATGTCGCTCTCTCGCATCAGGATTTGGTAGTATCCGTCTACCAAATCCAGCGCACTGTACAGTACGCTACCGGCCATGTTGTTCAACAACACATCCTTTCGTGGGATCGGTGTTTGGGCCGGCACCGTTGCGTTGTTCAGCTTGTTATAAGCGGGAACCAGACGCCACTTTCCGTTCGGCTTGCGAACGCAGAAAGTCGGCGTCGAGTGCGGGGATTTCGACTCTCGCACCATGCCTGCCTTCGCTTTCGCGGCGAAGAAGGCATCAATGACCTCGCACTGCTCGCGCGGGAGAGGCCATTGCCTCGTGGTACAATACTTTGTGCCGGGCACGAGATCAGTCTCGTGCCGTACGCCTCGATCCGGTGGGAGTTGGGTCGGTGGGTGTTTGTTCACCACGTCCGCATACTCCGTCACCAAAGGATACACCGGATCCTTGGGGTTCTTGAGAATCTCAGAGCCCAAGCGCGCCTGACGCTGCTTGTTCATGTCTTCCAGGACGTTCTCGTCCAAGACAGAGGAGGAGTTCAGCTCCTCCTGAGTGGTCTCAGGTCTCATGAGTACCATCTCAGCAATCTCTCCAGCCTTAAGGTTGGCCAGGAAAGACTCAGCCGTCATTTCCTCGAGGTTCAGTATCTCTGCAACCTCTGGCAACGGTTCCAAGTGGACACCAGATGCCTTGACGGGTAAACCTGTCTCGCCATCGAAGAAGTGATAACACTCTTCCACCGGCCTTGTCGGAGGAGCCCGGGCCCTGGACTCCGAGTCGCTTGAAACGACGTCGATCGGAACGAAGTTCGGATCCGACTTGAGGCGGCGGCGGCGTCTTTGTCGACGGCGTCTGTGACGGGGAGCTTTGCTGCCCACGTCTAGGGATGTCGTCGCTACGACATCCGAGGCACTCGTGGCCTCGTGTGGTACTGTTGTACCCACACAGGAAGCGTGTTCAACGCCTTCCTCTTCAGTTAAGGTCTGGGCGACCGCGTGTGGCACTGTGTTACCCACACAGGAAGTGTATCTGACGTCTTCCTCTTCAGTTATGGTCTGGGCGACCGTGAGTGGAACTCTGTTACCCACTCTGAACACGCTGTTCTCAGTGTTCATGACAGCTGCAGCTGTCTGCGGAACTAAGTTACCCGCCTGTGGGCCTAAGTTACCCACTTGGCCAGCGCCTCTTCTGGGCGCGGCCACCATCAAAACATCCTCGGAGTCGTCATGTACGTCGACGACTCCCAAGCATCTGCCGGATGCTTTGGTACCCTGACAGCCCTCGCGGGCGCCCCGGGTCCTGACAGAGGTGGGAACATGACTCACCAATGCTCTGTCGGACTGCGCAGGGCGGCTGGCACCGATTGCCTTGCCTCGCCAGTCGATCCAGGGCTCGTGCTTCTTTGCATGCCCAGGATCATATCATATGGATCCATATCGAGAACAGTGAACTGTTCGGGGCTGTCAAAGTCTTCAAACTTGACAGCCAGATCCACTTTGACGTTGGGGACAGTGACGACCTTCCCGTCGGCCAGTCGCACTGACACCGTCCCGTTGCCCTTGCTTTCTCTCAAAGCTTCGGACAACTTGTTGCTGTTACGAGCAACCGTCTGGCGGCGTGCGAAATTCTTCGACGCCCCAGAGTCAATCAAGATTCTAAAGGGATGATCGTATCCCCGTACACATCCGTGTACTACGAGCAACCCGCCGCTGCTCTTCGCCGATTCGAGAGTGCGAAGACTCTCAGGGGCTAAGTCCCCGTGGTACGCGCCACCCGCGCACCCGTCACGAAGACTTCGTTCTTCCCCAGTAGGCCCCCCCCCGCCCCTACTGGTTCCCAGCGTTCCCCTGTCCCCGGGATCCTGGCTTTTGCCAGCGACCCTTCAGGACGGGCTTGGGGAAGGACCGTCTGCGGAGTCTTTCCGCGGGACAGTCGCGCTTGAAGTGGCCCATCTTCCCACAGCCGAAGCAGCGGATGTCACGCTGTTCGGCGGACCCGAGTTCCATGGGAAGTGGTCCGTTGGGGCTTGTTCGACCGGGAGCCGACAAGGAACTCCCAGGCCACGCTGAGGCCGGCGTACGCGACTGGCGATGGCTGTACTCTTCTTGAAGAGCCACTTGAATCGCCTCTTCAAGGGTGCTTGCCTGCACCCGGAACAGCTGAGTGCGTGCGGGGCCCACTCGATGGCCGTATATGAACACAGTCATTTTGATGTGTTCGTTGAGTGAATTTCCCACTAGGGACGCCGTGAGCTCCCGTATCTCTTGCACATACTCGTGCAGTTCGCGCCTCCCTTGTTTACACGAGAGGAAGCGCGAACGCTGGCGGTACTCGTAGTTCACCAGGAGGAACGCGGCTCGGAGCTGTTTACACAGCTGAGCCCAGGATGTGAAACATCCAGGGGATGTTGCTTCTCGAGTGACACCCAACTCTTAGCACGACCGCTAAGGCTGGAGAGTGCAAAAGCAGCACGAAGTTGCTCGGTCGAGATCAGAGCCGCGTCCATCGCGAGCTCTACTTCTCGGACCCAGAAGTGAAGGTTCTCGCCTTCCTTCCCTTCATACGGCTTTACCTTCAGCCGTATTGGCTTCGGGTGAGGCGTATTTGCTTCCGCCGCCGGAGCCTGCAGGTTCTCCCGCACATGCGCGATGAGGCCCTGCTCGTACGCGTCAAATGCATTGACGCGCTAGAGCTGTTCAGCCGGTGTTGATACCACCAGGCTCTGCAGGGCCTCCATCCCGAAGATGCCTGCCATCTTCCGAACCGACTCGAACTGAGAGTCGTTCATATGGGAGAAGTCACTCCTATCCATGGCAACGAACTTCGGAGAGGTTCAGGTAGTCTACCCGCGGTGGCGTGGATTGACTACGAGTGCTACCAAGTGTGACGGGGTCACACAGCACCTTGCGCTAGAGGAAGTTAATTTCCGAGAGTATACAAACTCTCAGTGAGCGGCACCCCCTCTTTAATTAAAGAGAGCGAAGTGACCTAAAAAAGGTAGACTGTAAACTGAGTATATTTATAGGTAGGTTAAGTTTGGGCTTAATACAAACTATTAGTTACCTATAGAAATGCAATGTCATTTAACCAATGGTTGGCTTTGAACGACCTTGGTACCTTGTACCAAATATCCCGGAGTATGACGTGTCATACTCCGGTTACATGAAGTGTGACACTTCATGTAACCAGGGTACACTTAGGGCTACGTACAGGTGAACTTTTTTTTGAGTACATCAAAAAGCCCTATTTCTACATTTGGGTACCTCGAGCTCAGCTCCATTGTTTTCCCCATTTTATTGAGAATTTTGTGTTTTTAAACAAGAACGCGAACAATGAGCGAGTCTGTGGTACTGCCCCCTACGCCAAACGATCCGTCGCCACTAAACGACGAGGCAGCGGACGACGTCGCGCCGACGTCGCTTCTCCGACGTCTTCGAAAGAAAGGCTACAAGTTTTCTTGTGTGTAACTTGCGGGAGCATTTACCGAGTCTTTTGATGCCGCTCGTCGACTGATTAGGCTTGACTGGTTGGGCGCTCGATTACTGATACAATAGTGCTTGTTGCATGTTGCTGTGTAGCCTTCGCTCGAGAAGATCACGGGAATGCCCTCTACTGCGTCACGTTTTGCGATGTCTTGCCTATCTACGAACGCATGTTTGCTGTGGCTGGTGGCAATCGCGTACGATTTAGCAAAACTACCGTTGTAACCTCCTAGTCATGGACTGATTGATTGACTCTTGCTGCTGTGTACCTTGCGCAGCTGACAATGTACGAGTGTCTGGAGAATGGCGGACTAGATGTGATTCAGGTGTATTGCGACGGCGACCAGGAGGAGCAGTACTTCACGGCAGCATGGACTGTCGACGTGCTCACAGGCTCGCCACTGCTGGCGGCTGCAGGATTCCGTGGCCACATTAAGTTGATCAACTGCATCACTCAGTCGGTGGTGATTGTGCTATCTGGGCACGGCAACTCGGTGAACGAACTTAAATTTCACCCGGTCGATCCGAGCCTACTGCTCTCGGCTGGCAAAGACGAGTCTATTCGTTTATGGAACTCGCTCACGGGCGTATGTGTTGCAATTTTCGCCGGTCACGTTGGTCACCGTGACGATGTGCTAAGCCTGGACATCCACTTAAAGGGCTCGTGCTTTGTATCGTCCGGTATGGACAACACGGTCAAGATTTGGGACTTGGAGGACGAAGTCGTCCAGACGGCCATCAAGAAATCATACACCGAGCCCCGCCCGAAAGACCGGCCTTTCGACACCAAGTTCATTCAGTTTCCAGCTTTCTGTACCAGTAAAGTGCATGCGGACTACGTGGACTGCGTGCGCATGGTGGGCGACTTGATTTTGTCCAAGTCGACTGGCAACAAGGTGATCTTCTGGAAACCGAACCCGTCGCGAGGCAAGGACGCCGTGACGGTGCTGCGTGAGTATCACTACAAGGACGCGGATCTTTGGTTCATGAAATTCGGACTCGATTCGCAGCTGGAGGTCATGGCTGTGGGCAACAAGAAGGGTGTTGTGAGCGTCTTTGATTTGGACGCTGAGCAAGAGCGTTCGATCTGCAAGCTGACGCACAACAGCTGCAAGAGCACGGTGCGCCAAGTGTGTTTCAGCAAGAGTGGCCGCACTATCATCACTTGCTCAGACGACGCGACGGTCTGGCGCTGGGATCTGCACTAAGAAGTACTGAAGCTTCTGGAAGATGTAGGAACATGTAACCCGTAAACAAGTACCGGTAACGTTGCCAGTGGTATACAGTCAGTACCCAATGCCGTTATGATGCAATTCAAAATCGAGAGCGATAACGGTACCGTATCCACACGCTTATACTGGGAATGCCTCATAGAGGCACGGACAGCCCACACCGGATTAATTCCACATTACTGTGAAGATCGAAACGCGTAGTGTAACCTGGGTCAACATTCGTGTCACCGGCGAAAAAAAACTGATGAGTATGATGAATTCGTGAGTTGTTGACAAATCGATTCTCGGTCTTTGCTGTTGTTATGTAATATGGACAGAAAAATGATAGCAAAAAGTCGCGTAGTGCTGTACCGACAGTTTGTGCGAAAAAAAAAAAATAGTTGAGCGCGGCCGGTAGATACCAGTCATAAAAGCTGATCTGATGAAAGGGGTCTTCGATGTTGTCTTACTTTCTGTAGCAATATGGTAGAAGTCTTTTATCTTTAATATGAAGATTTGCCCACTGAAACAAAGGTCGACGATTTTGGGTAGCATTAGGTTTTTTATCGCAGCACCATCAATTTTAATCGATATTAATTTATTCATTTATTCCGGAGCACCCAGTGCTCCGGGAATGCAAATACAGTTTTTTCCCGAATTGGGCCTGTTTTCTTTTCGAGTTTTGATCGGTAAAATTCAATATATAAAAAGTCTTTCCGGTGTCTGTATCAACTTTGAATCACCTCATCAATGATAGAAGGGACGCACTACTGGACTACTTGTGCCTGGATTCACTGGATAAATTTGTGAGGATTTACTTTCTTTCTTCGGATACGATTTCTTAAATAAATCTATCTGGTCCACAGAAGCCGTGTCGGCAGCACAAACTGCTTTTCTTGGGCTTCCCGCAGATCCATTTTGCAACTGTTTCTTTTTCTTTTGTTGCCAAATTTGTTGAGAGCACCCTCCTACTAGATGAAGAATGGTCTGGCGACTGCTTCAGATCAGCGGCGACGAATAGTTGTGAGCTTATTGCTCAATGACCGATTGCACAATACACCCCGGAAATTTTCGGTGTTACAGACTCCGCCCAGAAACTAAAATGCACTTACATCTTATACCCTATCAAACGCGGTCAAACTAATTCACGCCTTTTCAGCCAGAACTTACGTGGTACTAATGATTGCAAAAACTAATAGCCTATCCTTACTTGATTTCCTTTAGGAGATTAGAGGGTCCACCCTTTTCAGTTTCTGAGCGGAATCTGTATATCACGCGAAACAGGATAATCTCAGGATTATGTATGGCAGCTCACAAACAAAAATATCTGGAAAATGTTATGGCTTAAAATCAAACTGTCGATTCTTAACTGGGCCGACTGGTAAGTCGCAGACGACCTAGCTTCCAATACAAAACATATGCTTAAATTTTCAAAACTAGAAACGCAAACATGGGCACCAAGCGCAATAGGAAGGGAGGCGAGCTACCCACATGCAGCAACAGTGCCCCCAGTCTCTCATACGCAGCCACTGAGCGTCCGCCACCTACGAAGGTACCGAGGACGGCAACAGCTACTGCGCCGCCTTCCAGCGCTCGCCGCTTCGGCTTCAAAGGACCGTCGATCTCACAGCTACCGACGCTTGCCATGAAGCGCGGAGAAATGCTGATGGATAGTAGAGTCTCACTTGATACTGTGGAAAGAGCAGCGCCTGTCGAACTGGACGTCCACGTGCTGGAGATGTTCAGCGGAATCTTCAGTCAGGAGATGATTGCGACGCTCGATCAGCTTCTGGCGTTTAAATACAAGACCAACAAATTTGCAGTCAAGGCGCGGAAAGAAGAGCAAATTAACTACATCAAAGAGCTCAAGACTGTTGTGCGCGATGTGGTAGCCAAGGTACAGTGAGTGTTGCATTTAATAAGCATTTTGAGGAGCTGTGTTACTGACGAGTTGCTGGGTTGTTTGTTTAATAGATTCAAGCCTTCAATAAAGTATGTACGGTGATGGATGACAAACTGGCGGCGGAGAAGGCGACGCTGGAGCGCAGGTTTGCAGTACTGCAGCACGTAGCGAAGAGCAAGGACCAGTCAGACACCGAACTGAAGCAACTGCGACAACAGCATGAAATTCTACAGAAGAACGTCGCACGGATCCTTGCGTCCGAGCAGGAGGTTACTCGCAGCAACGCAGTACTAAAAGATAACGCGGCAAAGCTTGAGATCCAACTTGAAGAGGCCCAAAAATCCAACGCGCAGCTAAAGCTGGATCTGAAGGCACATAAAGCACGCATGGCGGATGAGTCGCGGCGTTTTGAAGAGAAGAAACATGAGCTGGAAATTTCCTTTGAGAAGAAGGGTCACGACGAGGATGAGCGCAAGCAGGCGGAGTTGGAGGAGTTACAGAATCAGCTGAGCAAGGCGCGTGACGAGCTCACCTCAGTTCAAAAAGATCTGGAGAAGTACGAGAATAAGGTAATCGAAGCTACAAATAGCCTTAGCGATGAGCGTGAACGACGAACTAGGGCGAATATGGAGAAATGTACGCTTGAGGCGAAGAATCAGGCTTTGGAAAGTCGTGTGAATAGTGCGGAGAATGAAGTGGTAGAGCTGAAGGAGAAATTCCAACAAAAGGACGGAGAAGTGTCGAATCTCGTCAAGAGCTTGACGGAGATTCAGAAGTTTAACGCATCTGCAAGCGCAAAGGCTGAAGCTGACAAGAAGGAACTGGCTGATAAAGTGGAGCGACTTCAGACTACCATCCACAATCTCGAGAGACAGGAGTCCTCCAGTTCGACTACTGTGCGTGATCTTCGTAAACAGCTAGAGGTTTGTAACACAATGCTGTGTGTGTGTGTGTGCTTCCTCACTAACTTGTGAACTGCATGATCTCTGCTGTAGCTGGAAATCAAATCCCGAAAGGAGGCGGAGCAGAGCGAGCAGGAAGTTCGCATTCAGATGAAGCAGGTAGAAGGTGAGCTGCAAGAAAATCTGCAGAAGGTTGGAGTGGAAGGGGGTGTTCGACAAATGCTCGAGGATCAAGTTCGTGAACTTCGGACAGAGCATATAGCTGTGAATGCCCAGATGGAGGCGGTCAAGGCGGAGATGAAGCGCCTTCAGTCTGCCGGCGTGGACTCTAAGGAACAGCACAACAAGCAAATGGATACACTGGAACAGAAGTTTCAGCAAGAAAGGGACAGCTTCAGGAGCCTGATCGACAAATTACAGGAAGAGAAGGTTTGTCTGGAAAGCGAAGTGCAGACTCTTCGGACACGAGCTTCTACGGTTCGTATTGGGGATGTTGAGGAGCTGTGCAAGGTGAAACGTGACGCTGACATCCTGCGTCGACGATTAACCGAGCTGACCAACCAAGGTGCTCAATCGATCGCCCAGAAAGACAGTTTAATTTTGGAGCTGCAGGAGAAAGTGAAGCTGGGCGACATGACGAGGAGAGCAATGCACAACACTATTCAGGTAAGCTCGATGGTTCTTGTGCACAGATTTAATGTTGATATGTCCCATGATCTGAACTGCTGCGTTGCTACCACTTAAAGGAACTGCGTGGAAATGTTCGGGTGTTTGCCAGGACTCGACCGTTCCTGCCCTCCGATCATTGCGACCCCAACACAACAACTCCAATAATTTTATGCGACTTCGACGGTGAAAGCTTGAAGCTACGTCGTCCCGGCAAGAACCCTTCCGAGCCAGATACTTTTGCTTTTACGTTCGACAAAGTGTTTGCTCCATCCGCTGGTCAAGACGCAGTTTTTGAGCAGGTGTCCGAGTTTGTTCAGTCCTCTTTGGATGGATACCATGTTTGTCTGTTTTCCTACGGTCAGACTGGGTCGGGGAAAACCCACACGGCACGTTATCCTTCCGAGTGCAAGTGTGATAGGAACAGTGTCTAACGTGCTTTATGTGTTTAATGCAATAGATGCAAGGAACTGGCAATGGCCAGATGAGGGGTATCATTCCACGAGCCATCGAGATGATTCTCCAGGAGTGTGAGGCTTTGAAAGAACAGGGATGGAAATACGTCGCAAAGGTTTCCTTCCTGGAAATCTACAACGAGAGCTTGAAGGACCTGCTTACCACAAAGCACAGCAGCAACGACAAGCTCGGCATCAAGAAAAATGCAAGAGGAGGCGTGTATGTCCCAGGACTGACGATGGTGGATGTTAACGCGATAGATCAAGTGGAAGTCCTAATGGAGCAAGCAAGCAGAGCGCGAAGTGTGGCCTGTACCGATATGAATGTACAGTCGTCGCGGTCTCACAGTGTATTCACTCTGCATCTGCAAGGAGTGAACGACAAGGATGGCGTCATGCTGAATGGCCAGCTGAACTTGGTCGACTTGGCTGGCAGTGAGCGAGCTTCTCGATCGAATGTTTCTGGTGACCGATTAAAGGAGACTCAAGCTATTAACAAAAGTTTGAGCTGCCTGGCTGATGTCTTCAACGCCATCGGAAGTAAGGCGTCCCATGTAAGTTTCTCTGGCTTTGGGCTTTTATTGCATTATGCAGCTCGCTCATTCTATGTGGCTTCTCTACGCGTCGTAGATTCCGTTCCGAAATTCGAAATTGACGTATCTGCTCCAAAGCAGCCTGTCGGGTGATGGCAAGACTCTGATGATGGTGAACCTGTCCCCAACACTTGAATCGGCAAGCGAGAGCTTGTGCTCGCTGCGGTTTGCAAAGCAGGTTAACCAGTGCGAGCTTGGCAAGCCAAAGCGACAGATCAAGTCTAGGAAAGACCGTCCATGAGCCAGAGCGAGTCGAATTGTGGAGTTCGTTAGAGGTTATATTTAGAGAACACAATGTGTCATGGAGTTGATCAGTGCGCTCTGGCTGCTGCTTCTTTTTGATAATGCTCCTTATATTTTTATCAAATGGTGCTGATGGTGGTTTCGGACTCCGCCACTTCCTCTTTTGCGTCGCGATGGGTCCAAAGAAGGCCAAGAAGGCCAAAGATAAGAAAGGTGTTTTGCTCTTGTACTTCTCTGTGCGCCAGTGCTATTTAATGCCAACGTTCTCATGCTCGTCCGTAGATGATGGCGCTGAAAATGGTGGAGTGCTGACTGCGGATGAGCAGGCTAAACTTTATCAGTCCGCAAACCGGTCGCTGCAGATGCAACTTGCAGAGCGGCACGAGATCACCGTGAAGACACTTGAGTCCAAGCGAGAACTGCAAGAGCGCGTGGCTGACTTGCAGAAAGATTTTGAACGGGAAAGGAAGGAGACGTTCGGCATAACGCAGGACATGACACGGCAGTACAAGAGTATGCAGGAGGAGCTGTTGAATCGGGTCAACACTCTGGAGAACACCAACACAGAGCTACGGGATCAGCTAGGTACGTCGGTTAAAAGCGTAGCGGAGGTAGGTGGAATAGAGTCCTAACTGGCCTGACGTTGATACAGAACTCGCACGAGTCAACTTTGAGGAGATGAAGCACGAGAAGGACCGCATCATCGCTGCCAAGAACCTGGAGATTCAGGAGCTTAAGGCCAAGATGGAAGAGATGGCGCAGGAGTTCGGTGACATGCTCAAGGAGACATTGGACAAAATGCGGGAGCGCATTGAGATTACCAACACAAACTTCGAGAGCGATGGCGGGTCTCTGCCCATGATGCGTAGACTCGAGGAGTTCAACCTTGGGTTGCCCACCAAACCCTGAGAGCTGGCTCATTGTGGTAGTTTCCGCTTTGCTGGGATGCTAGTGTGCGATTGCTTGCAAGTTTAGAAGTGAGCTTCCTTTGGCTAGACTCCTATCGCTGTGTTCACTAGACCAGGGATACCGAAAAATAAATAAACTGAAAACGCAATATTGTCGTTTCCGCTATAATTTGTAGAACCAGGAAAAAATGGCGTTTTTCGAATCGATTTGCTGTCATTATTAATCAATCAGAGTTTACCTGCATCACTTTGTATTTCTTCGGCAATGAGCCTGACAACCCCGGTCCGGCGCAGCTCTCCTCGACGGGTATCGCTCGACGACAGCAATCCCAGTCATGAGCGAGTAGCTCTAGGTCCGAGTCCACGCCCCTCACCGTACCAGAGGCGTAGTCCGTGTCTTCAACAACAGCAAGAGGTGGCGTCCTCGTCGTACCAGAGGCGAAGCCCCCATCTTCAACATCAGCGTGAGATGGGTTCCTCACCCTATTAGAGGCGAAGCCCGCGTCTTGAGCAGCAGCGTGAGACGCTTTCTTCGCACGATCCGTTGATCAAGCTCTCAGTCGATGTACGGTTGAAGAACACTGTCAATCAGCGTCTGACATCGGGATTGCGGATGGGCACACACGCGGTTCAAAGTGACACATGGGATGAGGTGAAAAACATGCTTTGGGGCATCATCCAGCGCGAGTTAAAGCCACTAGCTATTCCGACTGGGGCACCTCCAGTCTGGACGGTTGATGAGCATGAACCAGCAATTGTGATGTTTGTGTAACGGGGTACGTAGCCCTAAGTGTACCCTGGTTACATGAAGTGTGACACTTCACACTTCAGGAGTATGACACGTCATACTTCGAGATATTTGGTACAAGGTACCAAGGTCGTTCAAAGCCAACCATTGGTTAAATGACATTGCATTTCTATAGGTAACTAACAGTTTGTATTAAACCCAAACTTAATCTACCTATAAATATACTCAGTTTACTTATTTGGGTCACTTCGCTCTCTTTAATAAAAGAGGGGACCTGTGAACTGCCGTTCACTGAGAGTTTGTATACTCTCGGAAGATAACTTCCTCTTGCGCAAGGTGCTGTGTGACCCCGTCACACTTGGTAGCACTTGTAGTCAATCCACGCCATCGCGGGTAGACTACCTGAACCTCCGAAGTTCGTTGCCATGGATAGGAACGACTTCTCCCATTTGAACGACTCTCAGTTCGAGTCGTTTCGGAAGATGGCAGGCATCTTCGGGATGGAGGCCCTGCAGAGCCTGGTGGTGTCAACACCGGCTGAGCAGCTCGAGCGCGTCAATGCATTCGACGCGTACGAGCAGGGCCTCATCGCGCATGTGCGGGAGAACCTGCAGGCTCCGGCGGCGGAAGCAAATCCGCCTCACCCGAAGCCAATACGGCTGAAGGTAAAGCCGTATGAAGGGAAGGAAGGCGAGAACCTTCACTTCTGGGTCCGAGAAGTAGAGCTCGCGATGGACGCGGCTCTGATGTGGTGTTGGAAATCCCACGTGAACTCTAGCTACAGATGTAGTTCGGATGTTCCCACAACAATACGTCTACTAGGATAGTAAACGATCGTTCGGGCGGACCTGAAGACCCCAGTTCTGCCCTTGCACCGGGACAAACTGGACCTTGTAAACTACTTATATAGGCCAACCAGTAAAATAAGAACACGCTACTAGCACGAGCAAAGCTAGCAGGTGTTTTGAATCCTCGTGGTCCCAACAGCGGAAGGGTACCAGGCACGGGTAAGCCTTTTACGAGATCACCGAGTGTTCAACACTCGGCTGGAAGAAATAAAAGGGAGGCAATTCAAGCACTCCCAGTCGTGCAAATAGGCAACAATAAGCCGTCACGTAAAACCTCCCGATAATAATCGGCCAATACACAAAGTCTCTTGGCCTTGCCGGATGAACCCTCGCTACAGAGCTTCGAGTTCACCGACAGGCATAACACACTCAAACAAGCTTGACCTGACGCTTACCTTGAAGCCGGACGTCGCTCTGTGTGCTTGAGTGGAAATTCTGTTCTGTATTTAAGCTTACCCTTTCGGGTCTATTCCTAATAAGAAGTCCTAATCAAGTATAAAAATATCAAGTGAACAATGATCCGTTATGGATCTTCTTGCATGCCAAGCGTCGTCTGCACTGTCGCATGAGCATCTTTAACGGTCCGCGCCCTGTCCCAGACGGTGAACGTGTCTTCCAAAGGTCGCTGAGTATTCCGCGAACTCATCCCAACCGCCACTGAGGGTTCGTACCGTAGATGGTCCGCTGAATGCGAATCCGGCCAGTCCATTATTAATAATAAGGACAGCCTGGATTCAGTGACATAGGGCCGTATCCGATATTTGTTGAAAACTCGGAGGTGACGCCGTCGAGTCCCTTGCACCTTGGCGTCCCCGTACATCACTCGACCGAGGGTTCGTCGCTTGAACAACTTGGGCGGTGTCACGTCTTTGTCGACGGGTGATAATCCGCAACCACGGAGAAATCACTACACCACAACTGCCCCTGTCGCAATGGAAGCCACGGTACTGGTGCCCGTTGTGATATTTCTTTATTCTTCAATTCACCATCTCGCCACCGTATGTCCAAGCGTCTGAATCGAGTCGTGTCCGACGCGTTTCAGCGTCTCAATCCTCGTAGACGTCGCGGGCGTGAGCAGCTGGAGGTACGTAAGCCCATCCTTCTCTTGAATCATCGGTACCTTGCTCATCACCTCGCATTACTCGACTTGTTTCTCAGGAGGGCAAGACCGAGGGTTCGAACGCCCCTCAGTCTGCTGCACTTCCTCCGACAGCAGCGTCATCAACCGGTCCTCCGGCGCCCGCTGCCCCAGACTCTTCACTTCCTGCGGTAGCTCCTGCAGCACTCCCCGTCGTCGCTGAATCCGCGGAGATGGCTCCTGCTGCTCCTCCTGCCCCAGCTGGTGGTCCACCACCACTCACCGAAGATTCGCTGCGCGCCATGCTGGCTGAAAGTACGGAGGCATCGGTCGATCACATGATGACCTCGATAATCCCGTACTTGACTGCAATGGCTCGTCACCAAGTGCAGATCAGCGTTGTGCCTCCTCTCCACGGCGATATACATACTCAGCGTCGTCTCGAGACAGCTATTGGTTTCGATGAGGTCCTCGCTGCGATACAACCTGTTCCTGACGCGCTGTCGGCCTTACCAGAACGAGTTGCCGACTTGGAGCGTCAGTTGCGGTTTGCTCAGTCCGAGGCTGCTGCCGCCGTACGTTCGGTGGCACCCCACATCATGGCCCGTGAGAACGCGGAGACATTCCTCAAGGCTGCCAACGCTGAGATTGAAGCTTTACACCACAACATCAAGATTCTCCGCGAGTCGAACGCCAAGAATGACGCCATGCTCGCAAGTGTTCAAGCCACTATGGAGCGACACGCAGAGGATTTGAATCGTCTTCACTGCGAAGTCCAAGCTCGGGACGTTTTTATCAGCACGTTGCAGAAGAAGCTGGCTCGCGAACGCGAAGTGTACAAGTCTTCTATTGGCGCGAATACCGAGCAGACCCGGAAGCTCCACCTCCTTCTGGTAAAGCTTGCCCAGGGCAAGTATGTCGATAACGACACGCTCAAGGTCCTCGAGAACCAGCAAGACCGTAACACTCGCCTCCTCCAAGCGAATCGTACCCTCCGTGCACACGTGAGTCTGGCAGGGATGGATCCCGAGGTACTTCGTCTGGCTGTCGAAGGTACGCTCTTAATGTTGCTCCTTCCACCGTGTGTTCAGCAACTAACGGTCGTTCACAATCCTTCGTGGTAGGTCTGACTGCGGGTGAGCTGGACCTGGATGCGCTGGACTTGGATCAGGAGACGTTAGTCGCTCTGCGGCGTATTCAGTCTGCCACTGCTTCTTCGGACAATCCTCAAGCCTTTCCGGCAGCTTTGGCCAAAGCAGCTCACCAAGTGGCCCATGGGAAATCCCATAAGCGTCTTAGACCAGGTGGCGAGGATTCAGACGACGATCCGGACGACTCTGACGAAGACAAGGCTCCAATCCCAACGGACAAGGTCAGTGCTTCGATGGCAGCTGCCGGTCTCGGTGATGCGCCACCTGCCGATACTTCAACTCCCAAGTCGGCTCGTAGATCGCTGTTCGGTCCGAAGGCGTGGAAGAAGTCGGCCCAGAAG